ATATATATATATATATATATATATATATATATATATATATATATATACACACACACACACACACACACATACATACAGGTGTATATGTGTGTGTGTATAATTTTTTTGTTCTCTACTTTTTTACTTACATTATGGATTCCTGCATAGAAGAATAGTATAATTATGAGTATATCTGCATTTGTGAGAAATAATGAAGAAATAAGGAATAATGGTGTTATGTCTTTTTCCTTTTTATTTGTTCTGTTATACATTTCTTAATATGTTGTTGATAAAGAAATTAAGAAAAATGATATGAGGGAAAGTATTTCTTCATTTAGAACATGTAGGTAGGATCTTACACATTCAGTTAGGTCCTGAATTTCCCTGAATCAAGTTGAGGTATGTGTATATGTGTATAAAATCTTTAGTAATATACTCTTTTTGGCCTTAACTGAAAAGTCATTGTTAAATTTATATAAACCTGCTCTTTCATTTAAGAGTTTCTTAAATTCAACAAATCTTGAGTGTCAGCCCCCATGACATTTATTAATTAAACTATTTTCTTATTTTTAATCCCAAAATTTAATTCTTTTCTTACATGATTTATTTTTACTGATTAGCATTCCTACTTCATTGCCCCTGATGTAACTGGACTCCCAACAATACCTGAGAGTGTAAGTTTTCTGTTTTTTACTTTTATTACTTATATTACAAATTTTATTTATTTTGGTCTCACTCTTATGGATTCCTGCATAGAGAAATAAGATACATTATAACTGTCTGTATTTGTGAGAAATAATGAAGAGATAAACAATAATGGTGTTGTATTCTTTTCCTCTTTATGCATCTGCCCTGTTATACCTTTCTTAATATGTCGTTGATAAAGAAAATTGGGAAAAATTATCTGAGGAATAGTTATGAACATTCTGTTAGGTTCTGCTTCCCTATACAAAGCTGAGAACGTGTCTCAGGAGATGGCTACTTTAATGAACTGACGACTGCATTTTAGATTTCTTGTCTATGACTCTGTCCTAATCTTTTAAGTGTCCTATACTTGATTTCCTGGTTTTATTTTAAAGTAATATATATTTCATGAAGCTTGAAGAGTATTATAAGAAATTGGAAAAATGAATTAATTTTGCATTTTAATTAGAGTTCAAATTAATATATTGTTGATAAAGAAAATTAAGAAAAATGATATGAGGGAAAGTATTTCGTCATTTAGAACACTTAGGTAGGGTCTTACATATTCAGTTAGGTCCTGAGCTTCCCTGAATCAAGTTGAGGTGTGTGTATATGTGTAAAAAATCTTTGGTAATGTACTCTTTTTGGCCTTAACTGCTTGTGTGAAAAAAATATTGTTAAATAATTTTTCATTTAAGAGCCTCTTAAATAGTAGAAATAGTCTGTGTTTCTATAATGTCACAAATTAATATTTTATGGAAAAGTTTATATGGGTAAGTGGAAATAACAAATATTTTTTGCTTTTTTAAATAACTATGAAAATAAAATATTCCCTTATATACTTTTTCTTCAGTTTCTCTTGGAAAGTTGAACTGAATCTAAATAATTCAATCAAAAGTCAAGGGAAAATCAATTGGAAAAAATATGTTCAAATACACTTATTATTTACCTAAGAATTCTACTCTTTTTTCAAATGTTTTCAAACCTACTGAGTGAAAATAAAGAAGGCAAGTGTAAATATTCTAATACTCAAAATAGAATATCTAATCAAAACTGTTTCTAGTAGAGTTGAATCCTGGGAAACCCTATTTAAAATGATTTTTTTAGACAACCCCTATGAAAAGACTTAGCATTATTTTACTTACTATGGGCCTGAGATAGATCCTCAAGTGTCAAGGCCCATCACAGATAGTGGGGTCTTGACCTCTGCACCTTGTGCACAGGGCATCCTCCTATATTTACCTCATGGACAACTGACCATATCTTGGCTTATGTGGTTGTGGCCCCTTCACAGCAGAGTTTCTAATACAAAGTCAAAGTAACTCTCTTCTACCTTCTATCCTCTCCACCTTTCTCTTACATTTACCAACAGACAACTAATAGCTTCAATTAACAAATACCATGGATTTTTAAAGACTATTACTTTGAAAGTTTTAGAGAATTAAACATTCTAATGAAATGCCACTGAGAATAAAAGTTTTTAAAATCTCCCTTAACACATTTTATTTAGCAAAAAAGTCTTGTTTAGGGGGAAACAAACAAACAAACAAAGGACAGAAATATCAAGAAGCATTCTGTGTTGTGAAATAATTCCCTATCTAAAAATATCTATCTTTAAAATTATAGGAAAATATTAATATTTAATGTTGTGAATGTAACTTTGTATATGCAGTGTTGAAGTGGAAGGTGAAGTGGGCCTTAATTAAAACAGGAAATGGATCTCTCCCCATCAATTCAACATCACTAACTGATATATAGTCTCTACTGATATGTTATTCTCTGACTACCAGTTTATTCTGATAAAGTTTCTGTCTTTTCAAAATTGAAAAAAAAAGCAGGATTTCTTTTCTTTTTGCCCAACTAAGTTTCATTCTTCCAGGTCATAGTCCACCTGGTAGTACAGTTTCAATTTATTATCATATCTTAATCAGTTTCTTCATTACTTTATTGCTTTCTGATATGCTTAAATTTGATTACAGAAAGCTAATAGTAATTTCAAGGAGAGAATCTGAAAATCAATGTAATTTGTCCCAATTTTGTTCTTATGTAGGATACATCTTATAAGAGTGTTAAATCAAGGAATCAATTTAGGATATCACCAAATACATTTGGTTATAGTGGTATAAAGCAAGCCTGACATGTGGTATAAACAAAGGATATTCCTTAATAAAGAATCAAGGACTTCTTATAAATCCATCTTATCCTTTGGTTGTCTTGTGTATTGGACAGTGATTTTTGCCCGCAGAGTGAATGACAAACATGAGAAGACTCAGAGAATTCTGGAACAGTGGTTTTTCAAAAATCACTGTCTGTAAGAATCATCAGGAGTATATGTTTAAACAGCAGTTTCTTGGGACCATACTCTGAAGATAATAATTCAGTAGTTTGGTTGGGGCCCAGGAAATCAGCTTCTTTTCAAATACTTGGTGTTGGGGGGAGGGAGGCTGGGAAATATGCGACCCTCTGATCACCCTCTGAGAAACACTTTTGTGGAGAGGGTTATGCTTCCAATAATAATGGAATATTGCATGCTTCATGTAGCAGCAGAATAGTATTAAATTTAATTATTTTAATGAATGCCACTTTTAATAACAACATCCTTTGAACTTTAAGACTTCTTGATAAAAGTATAAAATGTTTTTCTTCATATTCACCATAAGCTGTAACTTGAGAATTATTTTTCACTTGTACAGAGAAATCTTACAGAATATTTTGTTGCTGTGGATGTGAACAATATGCTGCAACTGTATGCCTGTATGCTGCACGAAAGGCGCATCATTATTACCTCTAGCAAATTAAGCACTGTAAGTACTTCACACTTTCCTTTTAAATAGCATGTATTGAGTGTTTCACAAAAAGACCTAAAAACCTCTGCAGATTTAGAAATGTGTTATGTGTACTTATAAGACAATATCTACATACTTTTTTATATATGGTTTTAATCTGGCTCTTGAAGTACAAAAGTCTGATTTATAGAAGGCTTTCTCAGATGCATTAAATCAGGTTAATTATTTTTTCTTATCAGGAGATGAGAGTTTTTTTTCCTCTTTTTAACTCTCCACAGTTCATTTTAGTACCTTCTACCACATAAAGAATTCTTAAGAGCTATTATGAGATCTTTATTATTCACTTATAGCTTTTTCCATTGGAGCTACTTGAAAGAAATCAAGGAGCCATGATAATAGCTGCTACCCTAACCTGGTAATAGGTAGATTCATCTTTGTTGCCAAGTAGTGGTTTGGGAGTAGATTCTATAATAGTTCTGGTTTGGAGGAGCTCTTCAGACTGATAATAACTTAAAAGTCAAAGTAGCATTTTTTATAAATCACAGGTTTTATGACACTCACTAAAATGTTCTTTTGGAAGGTCTTCATTACTGTGGTAAAGGCTGTGAGAATAGGAGGATTTTCTTGGGTCACAGAAAAAATTTTAAATGTATTTTACAAGTTTTCATAATTTATTCTGCATTAAGCATAAAAATATGTTTTTTTCAACTTTTTAGTTAATACAAACTTAAAGTTTTGAGTAATCTGTAAGATATTAAAAACCATTATTCAATACTGCATGAGTTTGCTTCTGCACATATTTGTTTACTTGATAATAAATAAAACCATAATTTTAATATTTTATTTTCCTAGAGTAGAAATAAAAATTTTATAATATTTTAGCACCTAAAAGTAGAATGAGGGTTAGGATTTCTTTATTTCTTTGGGATATCTGTTTAGTATTTAATAATGAGAAAGGTATTTTCAGAGACATTAAATGGTCATCCCAAGGCCAAAAAACTAGAAATAATTAATGAGAAACTAGGTTTCCTAATTCTGTCTTGGCTTATTTATTTTGCTTTACAATTGAAAAAGTAAAATTTTGAGATTTTAAATATTTAATATTGATGAACTCACTTTTCCCCAAATTGAAATACATTGTACATGTTGAAAAATGTAAGCATATAAAGGAGTAAATGTGAAAAAGTGATGAGGTAGTATCAGAGAGTAAGTACTGGTCAGTTGTAATGTAGGTCATATTTTTCTTATACATCTTTAAAACATGTTGAGATGTTCAGTCTGAATCACATGGTACTTTGACTCACTGCTTCAGAGGTTCAGTCCATGGTTGGCTGCTGATTCCATAGTTCAGGGCCTGAGGTAAGGCAGAACATCATGGCAGAGGGCATGGTAGAGGAAAGATGCTCAGTTCATGAAGCCAGGAAGGAGAGAGAGAGAGAAAGAAACAGAGAAAGAGAGAGAGAGAGAGAGAGAGAGAGAGAATGAATGAGAGAGAGGGAGAGAGAGTGAGAATGAGAATGAATGCAGGTATGTGAGAAAGCACTTGAGAACAAGAAATCATGGATAATATAATCCCCAAAAGCACACCAGCAGTGACCTACTTCCTCCACCCATGCCCTCTCTGTCTACAGTTACCACCCATGAATCCATTCAAATTATTAACCCATCAAATGGATTAATTGACTGATTAAGTTACAGCTCTCATAATCCAATCATTTGACCTCTGAACATTCCTTTATTGGTTCACACTTGAACATTCAGGGGTTATCTCATATCTAAACCGTAACATTTTATTTATTTGAGTTTCTATTGTTTTTAACTTATCACTGAAGTAAACCCATTCTTTATTCTCTGTCCACCTCTTCCTCCTTAATTTTTAAACATGATATTAATATTATAAAGGATATTTTTATATTGATTTTATGAAGATTAAAATAATTTTACAAATTGTTTTATAGGATTAACTTTATAAGAACTAATTTGTATTAGGATTAATTCATGCAACGAATATTTATTAGGCACATATTAAGCATCAGATATTTTCCTACATACTAAGAATTCAACAGAAAGCAAAACAAAGTTCAATCAATCTTGGTGCTTATATCCAACTGTTGTGAAACAGATAAACAAATGAACAAATAAATAGTTGTTATGTCATACAATGCTGAGTGCTATTTGTTAAAGGATAAAGTGAGTGTGCCTGTACAGAGGATAAGGCAAGAGCCAGGTTTTGGTTTTATATAAGGTAGTTGTGGGAGGGAATGCCTCTTCAGTGAGATAGAATTTAGGCAGAGATCTGAGGAAAATAAGCTATGTGAATGGAGTGTAAGCTGCTGCGTTTAGAACACAGTAGGAATAAATCTGAACACGTGTTTTTGAAAAATATTTGGTTTTATTTTAATTTTTATCCCTCTCTTAGAGGATGTGTAACCTTTCTGACTTGGTTTCTTCAAGAGTAATTGCAATCTTAATCTCATAGGGTTGCTATAAGAATTAATGGACACAAACACATAATTGAAGTGCTTAAGATTGTGTCTATGTAGGATAAATGTTCAATGTTTAGTTTTTTTTTTTTTAGAGAGAGAGAGAGAGAGAGAGAGAGAGAGAGAGAGAGAGAGAGAGAATTTTAATATTTATTTTTTAGTTTTCGGCAGATACAACATCTTTGTTTTGTATGTGGTGCTGAGGATCGAACCCGGGCCGCACGCATGCCAGGCGAGCGCGCTACCGGTTGAGACACATCCCCAGCCCTTAATTGTAGTTTTATAACAGCCTAGATTTGTAGTTTAGAGCAAAAATTAACATGCCTATCCTTTAATTTAATATTTTACTAAAACGTATTGTTTTAAAAGTTGGTATTATATAGGGAGTTGTTTCCTATGTTCAAGGTCAACTTAATATCAGCAGTTTATGACAGTTCTTAAAAACTTTTGGGTGATGTCACCTGTAAGTTACCAGCTTTGTTTTGGATCATTCTCTGGGGCAGTTGAACTGATAAAATAAATATAATTCAATTTGCTTTTCATGATCTTCTTACCCTTGTAATGTGGGAGAAGCTGCTTTACTTGAATATATCTTGACCAATTCTCTGATATATATAGTACCTATAAATATATGTGCTATAACTTCCATGGATAGTAAAATTTAAGATGAAGGATTAATATCATGATATAAATTAGAGATAAAGTATTTTTTAAGAAAAACTTAATGAAATCGCTGAAATATCCAAAGAAAGAATTATCACTAAATAATTGACTCGATTTTAAGATTTTTACATTCTTGTATTTTTACATACCATAGAAACTATAACTTACTTAATATTAATGCAAACATTTTTTCACCCCTTGATCATCTTTTAAATATATATAGCCCAAAATTTCAATTATTATAAGAACCCATATAAGTTAAAGTGTCTTAACATTCACAATTCTATTATTTTAGCAGTTTGTTTGCCTTGGTTGTTTACTCTTGAAAACCATAACATTTTTCTGATTATGTTAAAGTGATGTTTGTCAAACTATAGCTTGCTGTAGTTTTTTTTTTTTTTTTTTCATGGCAATACAGTGGTAGGGAATCAACTAACTTAAGGGGACCCTTTCTTCAGATGCTATTTGTAATTAAGAATGATTAGTTTTAACTTTTGTGAAAGATAAAATTTAAAATAAAAATATTTAGTTTTAAGATATATAAGCAAAAATATCAAGACTGTTATTATGTCTTGAAGATTTTAACAGGTTTTCCTCCCATTTATTCAAGTGTGTATTGTGTTAGGATTAATTATTATATTTTTACATGTTTGAGTTTAATAAACAGGGACATCATAAATTTTGTTTTTATTCTTTGATTTATACATTAATAAGTATACATGAAATGGTTTGCAATAATCCTGAACTAGAAAATTGATTTTATGCATGCTGTAGGCAGGCCTTAGATGTTTAAGCCCCAAGTGAATCTTGGTAGACTAGCAGAATATCCTCTCAGACTCTCATATATTCAAAGCAAAGGAATAAATAATGGTATTACAAGGTTGTATCAGTTGACTTATTGCTGTTTTGTGACCATAGGTAGGGAGGACTGCTGTTTAAAGTCATGTCATCCATTCTCAAATCAGTCAGGCATGAAGCCTTGTCATATGCCTCTATAATTGTACCACACCAGACTTTCTCTAACTAGTCAGCTGGGGCTGTGCATTTTGTCTCAAACACCCGGCTGGCCAGCATCTGACAGGAGCTTTCTCATCATCCTGTCAGTAATATGTTAACTAGAGTGTATCTTTGTGGCCTGTAGAAGCAGGTGGAAGGGATGCTTCTCTTTAAAGCAGATGTCTAAGTGTTAGCTACTATTTGGACCAATATTTAGTTGGTAAATATTACTATCTTAAAGTCTGTAAGCATGTTACTTACAGAGATTTGATTGTGCAGTGCCTTTTCTTTCTAGACTCTTTAGAGCAAGCAATATGCTGTGAGTGTTGGAATTGCATTAATAAACTGTAATTTCTTCCTTTGTTATAGTTGCCCCCAGGCATTTAAGCATATGCTTTTCTCTCCCTTTCTCATTAATTCTATCAAGGGCATACACAAAAGGAAATCTTGTGATTCCCCAGAAAATCGGCTCCTAAAACATAGATTTTATATGTTTAGTTTGACTAAAGAGGAGTCCAGAGGATTTTAACCTCTCCATCTGGATTGTACATATTCTTGATTTGTCTATTAATGGTACCACCTGTATCAGCATTTAGTCTGAAACCTGAACCTCAGAGATTGTTGGCAGAAGAACAAAGAGTATGCAGGCCTACTTGTTTCTTAAGGTTCTTGAAGAGTGCTTTTTGACCTTTGTGTTCTTAAGGCTTTAAGGAGTGGTGCAGTTAAAAATTGTTATTGGGCTGAGGTTGTGGCTTAGTGGTAGAGTGATTGCCTTGCATGTGTGAGACCCTGGGTTCGATCCTCAGCACCACATAAAAATAAATAAGTGAAATAAATGTATTGTGTCCCACTATAACTAAAAAATAAATATTTAAA